TTAATAATCAAACTGTTAATAATCTCATCGATTATATTACGAAACGTGCCATTAAATGCCTTAATAAAAAAAAATATATAATTCGATCCAAACCTTTATGGACGGTCTTGTAAATCAACAATTATTCTCATACTCATTAATTATTCATGAGGTATCAAGCCAATCCCTGATTGTAATTTGTACCACGTGAGGTAACTTGAAACCAGAGGAAGTACTCGTACCTTGTATTCTAACTTATTTCCAGTTACTTCTACCTTTTTCAAGTTACTTCTACATTATTTCCAGCTATTTCTACCTTATTTCCAGTTACTTCTACCATGTTTCCAACTACTACTAGCTAATGATAATCAAAATATTAGAAATAATCAGTTTAACATTAATTTAGTGAAAAAAGGTCTTTGATACATGACGCCCTCACGACTAGATCCCCTACCGTCAAGTCTATATGCGCCGTCTTATAACATTGCACCACAGAGTTTCTGATGCGATTCCTCGGAAGATAACATAGTACAATATTATCACTACCTACAATACACATGAATATACAATGAGATATGGGCAGGTCTGAAAAGACTGCTGGCCACGAAAGTGGACAGCGGTATATCCATGAGTGTTGTAGGTTCCACACGCCATGTCGTGGGTAGGGTGGGTGGTCGAAACCAGTATGTGTCTGTGGTTTGAATGGGAAGGAACAAAGCGTGCAGATCACGCATATTTATGCACTGCAAGGCATTATGGGATATCTATTGTTATGCTAATTTCATGCCTTATTTCCGGTAGTGAAAATACTTATAAATTTTATGGATTAAGCTCATTAGGAATGCCATGAATAGCAGACAAAGACAACTTGAATAGCTTTTGTTTCAGAAAGCCGTCAGGGAATTGAATAACAAAAAATGGTGCTTCATGTATTCAAAATTATGAAAACTGAAAACCTTAGTGGAGATGAAATAAATCAATATATTTCTGTTATATGTATTTCCTTTTCGCTTTTTACCCCTCCTGAATAATTAATGAGTATGAGAAGTCGTTCAAAGTCCTCCAATTCGGACTGGAMGGGGTTTCAAGTGCTTGCAATCAGTTCCAGTCCTTGGCTAACGCCTCGGACTGGAACTAATTGCGCGGACTTGAAGTCCTCATTGTCGGACTTTAAACATTACTTATAGCATTCAGTAAAGTTACATAAAAAATATACGGTAATTTGAGAGTTCTGTGGTTTGTTATCTTGAGACCCGTTTAATGCTTTTCTTACAAAACGTGCGGTGGTCTTCTACATATCTAGTGATAGCCAAACGACTTCAGGTAGTTGAACATGTTAGAAGTTCTGTCCAGATCTCAGMTATGGGATTTAATTTTACTGGCGTGAAGGATGCTTACTTGACAAGCCTTAAGCCAAAATCCTAGTTCMAATCCCGAATTTAAAATTAGCACTGGGCTACGCTRGGTGTAGGGAAATAACCAATATCCCTAATCATGTATTATAACAACAACAATTTTCAAAATATAGTGCTAAAAAGACACAAATCACATGAACCCTCATCTTTGGGATTGAAGGAAGCCTTCTATGGTTGGACAGTAAATAAACTTAGATTTTTTTTATGATAACTATCCCTTTTAGCCCTTGTTGTGATTACTTCGAAATTGTTTGCAATTGACGTGAGTGATATGCGCAGAGAACAAATTAACACCTAAGTTAATTAGAAATAGATCAAATAAGTAACAAATATAATGCATGTTCAAGAGTTTTGTTTTTTGCACCCAGGAACTCTCATTATCACTAATGCTGTTCGTGCTACCTCATAAATAAACGGCATCACAAAATGAAGTATTTAGCATGTTTGGCATGGTTTTCAAGCCTTAGTACCTAGAAACAAAGATTAAATTTACGTGAGTAATAATTTATTTGGTTTATTGTTAATGGTCTCCATTTCCTAGCKCCCTATATAATCATATGATAAACAAAACATTGCATGGTCGCTCGGARATGAGAATTTCATCTTCTCGTTTTGAGAATCTTTCCGCTTATCCGTGCAACAATGTGATATTCTGCCTTTCTAAATATCCATAATTGCTGGCCCGACTTCACGCTCTAAGAGCGTCTAATTAATTATCAAACGGTTTATTATCAATACCTCTCGCAGATATTCTTCAAAATCCGACCAAGCCCCCTCTGAAKTGCAGGACGGCCTTTACCATTGATCGCATAATTTTTMCTTTYCCCGTCAGTAATCTCCTCCACAACTAATGGACGTGTTGGTGGCATGCTCCTGTTGATACCCAATGCCAGAATAACTACATCCTGTTGAAACGTTCAATGGTAATTATTTAAACGTATTTGTACCATTTTCTACTATTTTATTGATAGACAATAATGGAATAATGAAAACTTGTATAGCGCATATAAGTCTGTTCTATGCGCTCTGGTATAACTAACAAACAAATTAAACTCTAAAAGCTAAACTATAAACAAATACGTTTTAAGTTCTTTCTTAAATGACAGCAAAAAGTCAATGTTTTATCAATGCATCCTCCCTCATCCTCACTCCTTTCAAAACATGCACAATTCCAGACACCACTGTTAAGTTAATTGATTCTAGGGTTTCTCATTCTCTATACTTTATATAATTCGCTGAAAGGAATGAGGAAAAAACTGAGAACAATRAATTGTTCCAATATTTGCAAGTTTTGTTTTGGCTGTTTATATATTCATTTTGCACGAACTACAGCGGATTTTAATTTTATAACCTTATTTTTAAAGAATGCCAAAGAAACAAWACTGTATCTCGGAAATAATTTCAAATCACTCCATTCTTTTTGATATGGTTGTACCAAATGAATGCAATAGCCAATGTGCGCGGCAGACATCTTGGATTTTGAGCGCGCAATGTATCCTGGGAGACTGAGTACATGCTCGTAATGACGGCAATCAAGGGAATGACCAACAAATGAAAACAATTTTCATAAATACCTCAAAACAATGCCGGGTTTTTCTTGCTGTGTTCCCAATTGTTTTAATAATAACAAGAAACAACGCCATCTAAAGTTTTATAACTTTCCAAAAGACAAAAAGCTCAGAAAGAAGTGGATCGYAAATATCAACAGACGAGGAAATGAGGGAAAGTTCAGCCTTTTCAAGCCGACTACAGGTCATCGCGTTCGCCTTTGCTCTGAACACTTTGTCCATGGCATAAAAACCTATTTGGATAACATACCAACCATTTTCCCATGGAATAAGGCTGCTAAGCAAAACATCAGAAGAATTTTAATTGGAAAACAATTGCCAGTAAATACGATCCGACAGTACGACAGTCGAATCCCCGGGAGTCGAACTTGAAAAGTACACACCAAAACCTTGAACTAAAACAAACACAGAACGAAATAGCTGACAAGACATTTAGTGTTCCGTGCCTAAAAGATAAGCCTGATAAATTCAAGTTCTATACTTACTCAGAATTCCGAAAACTTCACGTTTTTTTTTTCCACTGGATGTTCTGGGGATCAAACACTGTACTAGTCGCCTACTAAGACATCAGAGGACAATAATCAACGCCCCAGAACCCATAAATTATCATTGAAGACCAGCTACTCATGGTATTGATGAGACTAAGAGTTGGGCTGCTTGAAGAAGACTTATCTTATCGGTAATATTATTAGATAATATTAATATGAGTACTACAGCTCTCATTTTTTGTTTTTTTATCTATTTGCATCAATGTCCTTCATTATTGTCATTGTTTCAATATCATAACATCATTATATTATTGCCACATAATCATGCTTCTGATAATCCATTCCTTTTATAGGTTTGGC